GCAGAGATGGCTCAGTGGTCAAGAGATGACTCAGACTGAGTTCATAGTATCTACATGGCAGCTCACAACTACTGTCATTTCAGATCCAAGTATCTGTTCCCCTTTCTGGCATACAATGTCTTCTTTAAGCATATAATGCTAAGAACATGAAGCTGGTTGCTTGGCCTTGAAAAATATAGAACACACTAGCAGCCTTCCCAATGCCCAGACATCCTTGGAGATTTCTTTAAACTTTGAAGTACATTCAAAATAAGAGGCATGAAGGAAGGAGAGGCAACAAGTGACATTTGTCTCACTTTCTTCAAGTCACATTTTCTAAGATAGATTATTTTTTACCATGCAGTTGTCTTTCATTCTGTATGAACCTTTATCTATCTATCTACTCTATCTATCTATCTATCTATCTATCTATCTATCTATCTATCTATCTATCATCTATCATCTATCTATCTATCGACTTATCTATCTCGATTTTTGGCTGCCACTGGGATGTGTAGCTGTTACTTTGTGCCTAGAAGCCTTGGCTTTTCTACATTGTAATTCTGGTGGTTGCTGCTACTCTAGAAGAAGCTCCTACTTTATAATCCAGACCAATAATTCATAATTGTCATTTCTGTCTGGAGTTCTGAGGATCTCAACTTTAATTCTGTAGTAGCTGCCATTTTGTTGTCTTGGCCTAAAATGTTTAATTGTCGCTTTTTGTCTTGAAACCTTATAAATCTGCAGTTTTCCCTCTCAGGCACCTGAGGCTTTCTGATCCCCCAAGTCCAGTCATTTTTCTGCTGGTGGTCCCTTCCTCTTCAACTGTCACTTCACATTGCTATGTGACTGGGTTTTGTTCCTAATATTTATAATTCTTTGTACATCTCAATGATCACTAGCCATAGACAACCACTCTTGAGCAAAGATGACCTAAATATAAAAGCTTTAATTGAGGGTGGGTTGTAAATTTACTGATGAGTCCTCAACAGAACTCATAACTGACTGAAACAAGTCCAACACCTACGTTTGTCTCCACTAATGCACACTGCCTCAGCTCTTAGACACCTGACTGGATTTTACAGAAGCAGTTTACTGGAATTTGTGTCCTTCATGAAATTCTCAATTTAAAACAGCAAAAATTAGAAAAGGAATGTGAAGGAAAAGAGAACAAAAATCTACTCAATTTGATCAAAGCATTTTAATTTCCACCAGACCACAGTCCTCACATAAGATTTATCAGCCACCATATTTCCCCAAAGGAAACACATGCCTCTCTCTCTGTGGAGAAATATTAGCCTGGTCCACTGTCTGTCTTTTCTATATTGTGCTTCAGACTCCTCTTGGGTGCCTCCTGTCCTTTGCCTCAATCCACTGCCAATTGTTACACCTTGTTCACTGAAGCATTTGGTATCTAAAACTCTGTGGAAAACAGGAAATAATTACAACTATGGGATGGGCCATATGTGAGAATACAGGATCAGAAATCATGGTTGATAAACGCCAATTCCAAGACCACTCTGTTGTAATACTCCTTTTGTGATATTCCTCATTCACTCCTATGTCCTGCCTGACTCTGAACCTGACCCATTCTCTTCCATGTTATTTGCTGATAGAAATGCTTTTAAACTCAAATACAGATCCATAACACCATCTACATAATGACAGACTTTTAAATTACTTTCCACCAATTATGTGTAGTACAAACATGTCCAAATCACAGGAACAAATGCAATCAACACTTTGGAAGAATTAGGAAGGAATCATCTCTTTGAATGTACAGTGACACAAGGAGGGATGCAGAAGTAACAAATAGCCAAAGCTAAGAACATACAGTTTGTTGCATGCTCTTGCTAAATGTGAGACAACTGAGAGCCTGTCCCAATGCTCAGATATCCTTGAGGATTTCTTTTAACTCAGAAGGACAACTAAATTGAGAGTCATGAAGGAAAAGGATGCATTAGTCTTTCTCTCTTTAAGCCACATTTTCTTAAAGATAGATTAAGTTTTACTGTGCATTTGCCATTCATTCTTTATAAACTATGTTGTAATCCACTGAATGTTTGTGAAGTAATTTGTATGGATAGATAAATGTGTAGCCTCCTTTTGGGTGTTATTTGCTCTGAGATTCCCTGTAATTGGGTTATAATATGCAGTTGTTTTCCTGTATAGTCTTAAGAACAGATTACAGTTATTGGAGTACTTTAAAATGTTCCTGAATTCTTTTAATGTTACACATGTATACAACATACTTAGATTGTGTTTACCCATTTGGCAGTCCTCCTAAGTTCTATAGATCTATCGCTATGTTCCTAACTGCTCCCAGCTTCATGCATTCTATTTTCTATAACCCATCACAAGTTCTGGTACACCTATATTCAAAGGTGTGTAAGGTGTTATTCAGTGCTTGGTTGACCTCCTAGGGCCCATAAATTTATGAAACACTGCCTCTTCCTGTCCAGAAGTCATGAACTGTCAATAGTTCCTCCATTAGGGCTGGAGTGTCTTGAACCCCTCCCTCACACTAGAAGGTTAACTGGCCTAATATTGTGTGTGTGTCTTATACAGGCAACCACAGATGTTGTGAGTTCATGAGTGCAGTGTTCTGACATATCCAGTAGATATAGTTTTTGTCTGATCCTCTCTCACATCTGGCTCTCTGAAATTTTCCATCATAATTATCATTATGTTACCTGAGCCTTTAAGGAGGGGAATTATATGGACATCCCATGTCTGACTGGGCATTACAGAGTCACTCATTCTCTGCAATTTGGTCAGTGTGAAAACCACTTTCACAATACATAGAAACTCATGAGTTCTGAATGTTGCACTAGTTGATGGCTCTAGATAAAAACTTGGAGAATAGTTTGAAACTATGTCCATTTATCAAAATAATGGCATTTATGGTGCCTGTGAGGTCCCCAACCATGAATTCCTGACCCAATTTGTAGCACTAGGTGTTTTGTAGAGCAGTGGTTTTCAATCTTTGGGTCACAAACATTTGTGAACACATATTTCATCTGATCTTAGGAACCTGCATTCAGAAATTTATTTTAGTTGCCACAACTCTAATTTTTCTATGGAGCAGTGACTCAATTCCTAAGACCATTAGAAGTAAGTGTTTTCCAATGGTTACAAGTCATTAGTTGAAAACTGTTACTATAAATCAAGCACCAAATTCAAACAGAAAGTGACTGCTTACTGCAATAATAGTTTGTATTACCAATGTAGCAATGAGAGTATTTTACTTACTAGGACAGTAAATGTTGTAGGTCACAGAATTCACAGCTGACTAAGATTATTAATGAATTCCTTACTCCAAAATCCTGAATGCACCTCATGTTGTATGGAATAAACCCAGCAAAGATGAAACATCCCGGTCAATATGAATTTGATTTGTCATATCTCATGTCCAAAGCATGTGTTGTCTTCAGCAAGAGGGTCTTATCATAAAATTCTGGTTAGTAACCAAGAGCACTGGGAATAGTCTGTATTTTGGGGGGAGGGGGGTCTTCAAAAACTCAAAGGAGGCATCTCACACATTACTGTTTATGGCTATGGCTTCTAAGATGAACATAATAGTCTGCATAGCCCAAAAGAAATACTCATATAGACAGACATTCACAGTCCTATCATATGGCATTTTCATGGATTCTTATTGTTAATTATCCTTCCCCACATACCCACTCCTGGTTCATCCTTATCCATTTCTCTGATATTATAATGGAATTCAGTTTTCTGGAATGATTAAAATATATCATGATCATAAATGTTTGGGGGTTTCTATAAACAGAAATGTATATGAGCATGTATATACCCCCCCATGTGTGTGTGTATGTATGTGTATACATATATATCCTTGTTGCTTTTTTTTGGTATTCTTCCATAAATTGTGGTATACATGAATTTATCACCTTGTGATTCATTATGCATTTTAAAGTTGGGATGCCTGTACCATTTTGACCTAAATAACATAGACTCTTATTAAAAGATTGATTTTTATAGTTAAAAATCATATGTAGAAATGTCAAGTTGACAATATGTACTTGGAATTGTTAGCCTTCATTGTCCATATAACTGTGAAGATATTCCGGTGAGATTCAACTGAGGTCAGCAAAGCCAATTTCAATCTTGGTGAAACCATTCCATTGCTGGTGTAGAGAATAAATAGCCCTGCGCCCATAAATGAGAAGCAATAAACAATGCCTAGGAGCTAGAGAGCTGGCTCACTTTTTTAAAGCACGTGATAATCTTGCAAAGAAATTGAGTATAGTTCCCAGCAAACACACTGTGGTTAACCATTTTGTGTAATGCATTTCCAGAGGATCCAATACATTTTTTCTTGCCTCTGTGGGCAGTTGGCATGCATGTTGTATACATACATATATAATGCACACAAACACCCACAAATTAAGTTTTAAAATATTATCAAAATGTTTTGGAGATGGAGAGAATTCTTGGTACTTAAGAGCACTGACTGCTCAGGTGTTATTTTCATCTCAATGGTGGCTCAAAACTATTGTCTACTAATGGCTTTAATGGGACAGTGCCCTGATATAAACTCTTCAGGTATTTTTCACATGTTGTACACAAATATACATGCAAGAAAAATAACCATTTATAAAAAAATTAAAATGATGTTACCCACAAGAATACACACACACACACACACACACACACACACACACACCAAAACAAAACAAGCATATACCTTTTCCTGGCCATCAGATAATGTCTGGTCTCCCTGTGGTATTTATTTTTTTATGTTCACCTGTACTTTGACTATTAATATAACATTTTGTATAGCATGATAATCCTGTATATATATTCAAAAATTGCTCAATATTTGATAGTAAACTTTGTAAAAATACCATGATAAAATAACTACTGATGACTGTACATAATATGGGAGTCAATTAAAGAGATATTTATAGTTTTGAAATGCTGTGTTAATATTGCACAACCTACAAAAGCTTATGCCAATGTATAAAGAAGACAGAGAATGAGGTCTCATGTCATTCTTTGAGAAAGTTATCTACTGTGAAAGCAGGGTAGAAGCAGACTGGAACTAGACTTCATATTGTTGATGAGAACAAAGGGGCAAAATATGGGAAAGCATATTTCTAGAAATGTAAATATACTTACTCCCCAAAGCTCTGGATATTTAGAATAGGTTGTAAAGACAGCCACAGTAGAGGAGAATGAATAAGAGAGGATAAAAGTGCACACCAAGATGAGGATAGTTTTCATAGCTCTGTTTTCAGGAGAGACTTTTAAAAAATCCTGAGCACTGTGAATATGATTGACTTGTTTCTTATGTCTGTAGAGGATACTCACCATGGAGACACTTGAACAGGCCATGAGGCCCAGACACAGTCCATCACAGAAGCACAATAAGAACACATACAGTGCAGTTGCAAAATTGCCTGAAGCAAACCATGAACAGTAACCATAAATCATCCCGTTAGTTGTATTTTTGTTGTAACTTGGACCTGACACTCTTGCTGGAGTCAAGATATTTAGAAATAAGTGCACAAGCCAGCTGAGTGAACAGGAGGGACCAAGGTACTTGGTGGCTCTGTGTTTAAGCATCATCCACCTGGAGTTGCTGTGGCTGATTGTGATTGCTTGGAAGCAACTCAATAGGCACATTGCATACAGGGACATCCCCCTTGTTATTCGGTAAATATACATTATCACTTTGCATCCAATATCATCCAGGAAATCTTTTAATCCATAATCTGACAGTGTCTGTGGAATGCCTTTTGAGATGATAAAGAGGCAACTGGCAAAAGTCAAGTGCTCTATGATTAGGTCTTTGGGCATTAAATGTTTTCCAGTGAATTTCAGAGTGACATAATAAAATAGTATTGCGAAATTTCCAATCATTCCTACCGTAATCTGGAAGAAGAGGAAAATTCCCAGTGCAATATTTTCAAAAGCCACTTTCATTCAATTAAAGAAGAAAATAAATTTATTATTGACATGAGATCCTAGAAATACATTATAAGATTGCATTATTTCATGATGTTAGCTAAAATAATATATTTATCACCTCATTGCATTTATATAGCTTTCCCATTGAATAATATTATTTAAAGTTTTATTCTTTATCAAAGTAAATATTCTCTATAATTAAATAGAAAATTTTGGACATATTTACTGAAGAGTAATGTATTCACTGGACAAGTTGTTGCATGATCTTTAACATAACAATCAAGAGATAGAGGCAGACAAACATACAAATTTGAGGCTAGCCTGGTCTACAGAGTTATTTCCAGGACAATCAATAAATTACAAAGCAAAATCCTGTCTCTAGTAGCTTGTCCCCAAATGATTAACATTTTCATTGCTTTCTATCAAACACAATGATTTGGGATCTATTTTCTTTTTCTTTTTTCTGTTTTTTTTGAAATATTTATTTATTTTATGTATATGAGTACACGGTCTCTGTCTTCAGATACACCAGAAGTGGGCATCATATCTCATTACAGATGGTTGTGAGCCACCATGTGGTTGCTGGGAATTGAACTCAGGACCTCTGGAAGAGCAGATAGTGCTCTTAACCACTGAGCCATCTCCCCAGCCCGGGGGTCTATTTTCAAAGAAAGACTTTTTAAGAGGTGCCATTTTGTTGTAAGTTCAGAAGAAACAGAATTCAAAATTCATCAAAAAGGACAACAGAAAATATTTGAAAATCAGATTTAGAAAGAGGTATTAAATCCTCAAAATGTATAAAGTTTATTTCATTTTAATATTTATTTTGTTTTAAATTGTGTGTGTGTGCTGAGGTTGGTTGCATGTGAGTGTGAGAGCTAGTAGGCCCCAGGATGTTGAGACCTGTTGTTTTTGGATTCGAAGATGATTGTGAGCCACTGACAGCAACTAAGAACTGAACTCAAATCCAAGGTAGTATGCACTCTTAAACACTGGATTTTCCTTTTACCCAACAAAATATTTGAAACTATATGTGAAAAAAACTAAAACAAAAGATATGAAAGCTTGGCAACTGCAAGATCCTGCTTAGCAACTGGAGATAGACTCAAAGCAGTGTACCATATCATCTTAAGAATAGCAGGGAGACCATAACTCAAGCAGTGTACCATATCTTCTGAAGAACAGCAGGTAGAACATAATTCAAGGCAGTGTACCGTATAGACCATGACATGTTTCAAGGCACAGGCCAAGAAGATTTTGTACTTTTCCACCACCTGGCCCCTCTTACCCCCTCCCCTTGTAAAACATGCTATAAAAAAGCATTTCATGTTCAAAAAAAAAGAAATAAAAAAAATAAAAAATAAAAAAAAAGAATGCATAGTACACACACAAAAAAAAATAAAAAATAAAGATGTTGACGGAATTGGTTTTTAAATAAAGATATTGACAGAATTGGTTAAAAAAAAAAGAAAGATACATTCTATACTTCGATAAATCTTCTATAAAACATTGAGATATCCAAAATGTGTGCAAAATCAGATTCAACATCACAAATAATTACAGTAATACAATGAGGTGATGCAAATCAAAGTTGTGGTGCGAGATCCTCATGGACTGCATGAACAGATATTAATCAAAGCAAATTAAAATGAATAAAACAGGAGTTAAAGCTGCTGAAAATATGGTGAGATAAAGACTCCTGGGCAGACTGTAAAGAAAAGTCAAATGTGGCAACTATCCAAGGTTGTATTGGTTTTCTTTTTAAAAAATGGTAAGTTATAACCCAGTTCCAATTATAATGATACAAACATAAGCAGATATGAAATGACCCAAAGCCAGACCGGAAATGACAAGTTTTTAGTAAAAGAGATAAATGAGGGGTCAGAGTTTCCCTGTCATTTCCATGCTTAGCTTCAGCAGTTCTCAGGACAATTTGAAAACACACAATCATATTTACTTGAATGTTGGATTGGACGTGGTGGTCAGAACTTCTGATCCTGAATGACTTTTTATAAAATGGATATTCACTAGCAGAAAACAGGATTATGTTTTAATCTCCCCACCTTGCACAAACATTCATATTAAATTATTCAAAAACTGAAATGCTAAAACTCTCAGAGGAAAATATTAGCAATATAAGCTGCAGATAGAGGCAACTGGACTCAATAGCACACAGAATGCACCAAGAATTAACTGATGACTAGTAGAACTGTATAAAACTAAAAGCTTTCTGCACTTTAAGGGGAAGTAACTGCATAATGAAAATATAACCTACAGAGTGAGCGAAAAAATTGACTTCTTCACTTTAATCAGGAGCTTAATACTTAGAATTATAGAGGAAAATAAAGATTAAACAGTGAATAGTCAATTCACAAACTTTAGTCCTCAAACGAGTTATTGAAATGGGCAGAGATTCTATTAAAAAAGAAACCCAAAAGCACAGTAAATGCTTCTGAGAAGTGTTCAACATAAATTCCTTTCCAGGAAATGCAAATTGCAAACACTTTGAGAGTACATAGCACACCTTAGAATGAGTAGTATCATGAAGAGAATAGACAATATCAAAGGCTGACAATGGTGTGGGGAAAAGTAATCATCACTTTACACTGGTGGGAGAGAAAAGTGCTACATTCATTATAGAAATAAATACAAAGATTTATCAAAGAATTAAATATAAAATTACCTTATAACAAAGTCATATAATTTCTGTGAATGCACCCAAAGGATTCTATGTCCTACCACAGAGATGCTTGCACATCCACCTATGCTGCTGCTTTTACTCACGATAGTAAAGAGATGATGTCCATCTTAGATGTTCATCAGCAGATAATGGAACTATGACATCTTTACACAGTAGAATTTTGTTCATCTACAAAGGAAGATGAAATCATGAAATATTCACGAACTAGATGACTTGCAAACAATTCAGCAAGGTGACAGACTCAGGAAAAACCAAGTCACATGTTGCTTGTTAATCAAGGACATGTTTATATGAACGTAAGTGGAGAGAAAACATTTATAGCTAAAAGGAGAGCAGAAGATGCAGACAAAATATATGTTGAGGAATCAAGGGGAGGGTAATGAATAAAGCATCTGTGACAATGAAGAGAACACTATTAAAGGATATATAGAGGTGCAAGAAGGTGTTGAAGGGACTGGTGAAGAAATGTGGAAGAGGAGAGTCAAAAACAAATTTGAAATGTTAGAACAAAATCTAATGCTATGTATGCTACTTAAAAAATTAAAACCTGGCCAGGCAGTGGTGGCGCATGTCATTAATCCCAGCACTTGGGAGGCAGAGGCAGGAGGATTTCTGAGTTCGAGGCCAGCCTGGTCTACAGAGTGAGTTCCAGGACAGCCAAGGCTATACAGAGAAATCCTGTCTCGAAAAACCAAAATTAAAAAATAAAAAAAATTAAAACCCACATCAAAAAGTATTATAGTTTTATAGTAAATATTGTCATGGAACAGTGACAGTTCTTATAGTCAGTGCAATCTTTCAAACTTATACTCCATATCTATATTGTCATGGTCATTTGTGTGTTGTTTGTCCTCTTCTATGGCATAAATGAACATTCCTCCTTGATTTATAGAATATATTTTAAATTTTAATAATTTCATTCATAAAGGAAATGTATCTTTCTAAGACATTTCTTATGCTTTATTAATTTTGTTGCTATTATAAATACCTTTCTGGAAGAAGTTCTTATAGTGTATATGTCCTATGTATAAAATACTTTTTCATATGGAAGAGAAGTTGCTATTTCATCCACCAATTCCACTTCTTAGTATGATTAAAAAGTAATTGAAATCAGGGTCTTGAAGTGATACCTCCGTAGTCACTTCCAGAGCAGATCTTTCCAAAACAGCTGAAAGATTAAATCATTTCAAATGTCTATTAACAAACAATTGCATGTAAACAGCATGATACATACACACAGATGTATAGCATTTATCTTTTCAAAAGCAGGTTCATACATGCCAAATGAAGAAAGGAAAGAAGAAAATGAGGTGATTTCAGTGAAAAGAGAGACTCAGTAGCAGCTTACAAAAGGAACAGTGTTCACATGAGACAGCCTACTCTGCTCTGGGTTGAAAATAGCCGTGATTTCACACAAAACTCTGTGCCAGTTCCCACTTTCTGAACCATGCGTGTGTCCCTTTTCTATACCTTGAACTGTTTTCCTTCCTTGTATTGTCCCTTCCTTCCTTCCTTCCTTCCTTCCTTCCTTCCTTCCTTCCTTCCTTCCTTCCTTCCTTCCTTCCTTCCTTCCTCCCTTCCTCCCTCCCTCCCTCCCTCCCTCCCTCCCTTTCTTCCTTCCCTCCTTCCTCTTTTCTATCTTTCTTCTTCCTTTTTTATATCACCTCTGTCTTTCCTTCTTTTCAGCAGAGACACCGAAATAAATTTTTAACACAAACATTTTAAATACAACTAATATTAAGAGAGGCACTCAGGAAGAAAATAAGATACATGGCGAGCAGAAGCATGGATTCTCCGAGGTTTGCTTTCTATTATCTTTAGTTTTTACTACACATTGGTCACTCACCTCAACTCTGGATGACCTCATGATGAAGGTGGTCACTACCAGATATGAGTCTTTGCTGAAATTTTGGTGACACACTCTTCCCTCACTTAAAGGGCCATAATCTAGTATCCTTTCCCAAAAGATTGGTGATTTAAACTCAACACTAGACCTATGATGACAGTATCTCCACAAGGACCTGAAGTAACTTGTAATCATCTTCCTGTCAGAAACAATACAAAACTGAACAAAACAAGAAGTTAAAATTAAATGAGCTATCCAAGGAAGCAATTAGGAATAAGGGCTGAACTTTTATGTCAGTACTTGGAGCACAAAAGTTATGTCAGATAGACATGCAGAAGGAACTTCAATGTTATTAAAGTATAAACAAGTTGCATGGCCTTGCCCCTGGAGGGCCATTCCCTTTCACTCAAGCATTCTAGACTGTTTCAGCACCTCAAACTCCTTTCTTCTCAAAAACATGCAGGACAAATGGCTAACTAAGATGCCTATTCACACACCAAAGCAGATTCTGGCTGTCAGACTCTCACAGCACTG